AAGATACTGAGGGACACTTCATAATGATAAAGGGAATCATGCACCAAGAAGACATAACACTTATTAATATCTATGCTCCCAATCAGGGATCCCCAAAATATGTAAAGCAATGAATTACAGAACTAAAGGGAGAAACAGACCAAACAATTATCATAGTAGGGAACCTAAATATCCCTCTGTCAGTTATAGACAGATCATCCAAACAGAAAATCAATAAGGAAATAACATCCTTAAATGACACATGAGACCAACTGGACATAATTGACATTTACAGAGCCTTCCATCCCAAAACAGCTGCTTATACATTCTTCTCTAGTGCACATGGAACATTCTCAAGAATCGACCACATACTGGGACACAGAGGTAGCCTCAACAAATATAAGAAGGTTGAAATCATACCAACCATATTCTTTGAATATGCTTTGAAGCTGGAGATCAGCTGTAAAATGAAAGAGGGAAGAACCACAATATATGGAGATTAAACAACATGCTACTGAAGAATAACTAGATAAGAGAAGAAATAAAAAGAGAGATCAAGAGATACATGGAAATGAATGATAATGATAGTACAACATATCAAAACTTTTGGGATGTGGCAAAAACGGTCAAAAGAAAAAAGTTCATATCATTACAAGCCTATCTCCAAAAACCAGAACGAGTCCAAATAAACAACCTAACGATTCATCTTAAAAAACTAGGAAAGGAAGAACAAATGAAGGCTAAAGTCAGCAGAACGAAAGAAATAATCAAAATTAGAGCAGAGTCAAATGAAATTGAAAACAAAAGGAAAAGAAAAGAGAAATGCAACATGGAGCTGGTTCTTTGAGAAGGTTAATAAAATGGACAAACCCCTGGCTAGACTCACTGAAGAAAAAGGAGAAAGGATATAAACAAAATCAGCGATGAAAGAGGAGAAATTATGACGGACACCGCAGAAATACAAAGGATCATACAAGAATAGCATGAAAAAGTATATAATACTAAATTTAATAATGTAGAAGAAATGGACTAGTACTTAGAAAGATATAACCTTCCTAGACTGCATCAAGAAGAACTGGAAAATCTAAATAGACCGATCAGCAGCATGGAAATTAAAATAATCATCAAAAACCTACCAAAAAGTAAAAGTCCAGGACCAGATGGCTTCACCAGTGAATTCTACCAAACATTCAATGAAGACTTCACACCTATTCTCCTCAAACTCTTCCGAAAAGTCGAAGAGGAGGCAATACTTCCTAACTCATTTTATGAGGTCAATATTACTTTGATACCAAAACCTGGTAAAGATAACACACAAAAAAGAAAAATATAGATCAATATCTCTCATGAACACAGATGCAAAAATCCTAAATAAAATATTAGCAAACTGAATACAGCAACATATTAAAAAGATTATACA